ACTGCTCTCTCTCACACCTTCCTCCAGATCAGCTCTCAATTCCTTGACAATGTGGCTACTACAATTGTCAAGTGGCAAAACGGAATAGAAATCATGTTACCCAAAAATGAGCTTTCCAGACAAAGAGGTGACAAACATCTCCTTCATCTCTCCCATTTACCTTTCACTTTGCTGTGCTTGGTAAACCAAGGTGAGATAGAGGAAAGGATGTCTGCATGAAGTCAGTTGGCTAACCCATGAGCTCTTCCTGGGTCATTCCTTTTCTTAGTCAAAGCAAAGGACCAGTCTATGAACACCCACCCCATAAACTAGTGTGCGTTCCCAGCAGGTGAGGAACTGGCGTTGACAAAGCCACTCAACCAACTGAGAAGACCTGCAAAGAGCACCAAGAAGCTAAAGATGGGAATGCCCTGTCTTCCCTCTCCTCCAAGCTCTGTAGGATCTCTCTGACACTGACTCTTGAGGGCCAGAACTGTGAGGAGAAGCCATCCAGCACTGCAGAGGAAAGGTGCTTCTTCTTCTTCCTCTTGGCCTCTCTCTCCATCTCCGATCCAGAAACTTTCTATTTCATTTACACTCTGCCTGTGTTAAAATACTCTCCCTCTTAGCGGGTATGAGTCTGTGCATATATTGTGGATGAAGGCTACATCTCCTAGATTCATTATCCTTTTTGCTATGCCAGGAAGCCTTCAACCTTCTACTGTGCCATCTTGTGCCAAGAGGAGAGTCTCTGTTTTCCTCTTCCTGCCTTCTCCTATAGCTGAACACAGTGTCAAATGATCTTTCTTGAAAACTCCCCCATGTTCTCTGAACTCCTTGCCTTTCTCTCCTTGATTTGAATGGCGGGGTAAATTCCCATCGAGGATTAACTGATCTCTACCCAATTGCCTTCTGCACCAGCCTCAAACATTCTTTGTGATAAACTTCCCAAAATTCCAATTGTGCTATTATTTGATTGCCTTCTATATCATTACCTGCAAATATTGAATAAACAGCAGTGATTGTTTATTAATTATTATTTTGGTTTCAGACTTCTTCAAAGCACAAGCCCATGGAATAACTTAGAAAATCATTTTCTGAACAGGATTGGTGTTCTTTGAGGCTCCAGTTTTTAATAATAACCATGAAAACACTTCTCAAAAACTATTCAAGTGAAATCCATTGTTGAATAAGGCAAGAATCTACTGGAGAATCTCTCTGATTGCATCTAATTTGCTATTTCTGAAATATAATCTGAACCAAACAGTTCCCCCTGTTGAACTTGTGCAGAGCCTGTTTGGTCATGAGGATCTGCCTCTCGCTTGAAGAAAAATGTCTCCTTTCACTCAGGAGGAAGTGCAAACACTTCTTACCCTCGGCTTTTCTTGCCTTTTCTGTAGCTAAAGGAGGCAAGAAAAGGATAAATAGGATAAATCTTCTGTCGGAATTAATATATCTTTTCAGAAAAAGATTAAGGTCAATTAATGTAAAATAAGTCACTAAAATAAACTTCAAGAGCTGAGAGTTGAAGATAGTGGAAAAAGGGGGAAAGAATGATCATGGCAGGTGCAGAATCTCTCTCCACTGATGAACATCCAAGCAAGAATACAGATTCACACACAGGTAGAAAAAACATTTGACTGAGTTTCTGAGGCAACATCTGAGATCAGCCCTTAACATGCAGAAATCCAACTGCTGAATGTGCTACTAGGTTCCTTTCAAACCTTTGCTAAGGAGGTTTAGTGCTTCAGGAGTTGGACCAGGATTGTTGAGACAAGGGACTAATAGCCCCTTCAGCAGTGTTCAGGCCAATTGCTTACTCTGAGTCAGCCCTATTTATCTACAGGGTTGTTCTGGGAGAAGAATTGGAGGACCTAGTGCTAGGGAGAAAGTCAAAACTTAAGAACCCAAAGAAAAATGGTGTTGTGCACAACCACACTGGAAGAATTCTGCCCACTGATGTCAAAAGGAAGCACAAAGTATAATGAATTTAACTTTTAATATATAATCACATAACTGTAGTATAGCCATGTTTATCCTATTCATGAACTTTACTAGGAAATTCACATTGCTGGAATGTTGGAATGTTGGAATGTAAGCTAGATACCTTGTACGAATGAGTTCTCAACACTGATAAGCCTGGAACATTGATGGGTGTACGGAATGCAGTGAATATCATAAATTTATAAGATAACGGAACGAGAGGTACCATCATAAGAAGTTACCCAACTGTTCTTAATGTGAACTGTTCCTGGCATACACTGTTCTTGATGACCTGGATGGAGATGACCTGGATGAAGTGTTCACCAGAATTCTAAGTAAAC